TATATATATTCTTATGTATTTAAAAAGAATAAGAGAACAAATAAAATATTCCATGTCATTGAGTCACTTGTTTAATCAAAACAAAATCAATTTTACAAACATTTCTGTGATTCCTTTCAAGTCTCTAAACGCTTTCCTTTTCTTTTTTTTCAACGATCCGAAGCATCACCGAAATGTTGGCTCCAAAAAGCGAGCGATCCGCACGCAATAATTAGACCCAAAAAGGAGGCATGTTGGCTGAAAAAAAAGAAAAAAAAATTCAACGCATAAAGCTGGGGCCCATTAAATAAAATATAAAAAATTTTATATTTTAATGCATGACCTAACCAAACGCACGTTTATTTGAAGTGTTTTACTAATATTAACTGATGGAAGCAGATTTTCAATTGTTTATCAAGATGTTATTTCGGTGGTATTGCGGCGGTTCTGTGGAGATATTCGATTGGTGTTATTTTAGTATTATTATAGTGTTGTTATTGTATTTTTTTGATGTTATTGGGGTATTATTAAGGTGTTATTGTAATGTTATTTAATTGGTATTGCAGTGGCTCTGTGGTGGTATTTGACTGATATTTTTTCTTTATTATTGTGAATTTGTTGAGGTGTTATTGAGGTATTATTGTGGCATTACTGACGTGTTATTGCAAAGTTATTGTGACGTTATCGAGGGGTTATAATGATGTTATTATGGTGTTATTGTGGTATTTTTTGTGGTATTATTGATGTGTTATTGTGATGTTATTGTGGCTTTATTGAGGTGTTATTGTTGTGTTATTGAATTATTATTACTATATTATTGTAGCGTTATTGTGATGTTATTGAGATAATATTTTGATGTTATTGAGGTGTAATTGTGGTGTTATTTGAATTTATTACTGCGATTTAAGTGTTTTTGCAAGTTGGGGGCTGTGTATGTTACCCAAAAATGAAAGAAAGATTTACATACATTTCACTCAATTCCATCAATTATACAAATCATCGGCCCCATCGATGAAAAGTTTTATTTCAAGTTTTAAAAATTAAAATTATGGTATTTTTGTCGTGATACAAAAATTTTTTGGTGATATAAATGTAAAAATTACTATAAGTGATCGATATGTAAATGCAATAATTGGGTGGTATGTGTGTAAATGGCCAAAAAGAAAATATACCAAAAATAAATACCAGAACATGTGTTGTTATTATGATGTTATTAAGGTATTATTGTGTTATTACTATGATGTTATTTGAGTGATCTTGTGGCAGATGCGGTGATATTCTATTGTTGTTATTTCAGTCTATTATGGTGTTATCATTGTAATAATTGTGGTGCTATTGAGGTGTTATTGTAATATTATTATTGTGTTATTTGAGTGGTATTGCGTCCGCTGCGATGACATTTGAATTTTAGTTTTCCAAACATGAAAATGAAAATTTACATACATGCCTACCTAACACCTAAACGTCAATTTTTTCATACACGTCATCAACCCTATGGACGAATACGTTTATTTCAATTTTTAAAATCTAAAATGATGGGAATTTTTTTTATGATACAAAATTTTTTGGTGATATGAATGTAAAAATTAAAGTATAAGGGCTAGATATGTAAATACAAGAATTGGGCGGGATATATGTAGTTGTCCAAAATGAAAATATACCGAACATAAATACTACATAATTCTTACATATCTGGACATGAAACATCTAAATCTTTATATTTAGATATATATCACTCAAATCTCTGAATCACATAAAAAATCTACTATTATGAACTAATGAAAACAGATTTTCAAATGTTTATTGAGATGTTATTTGAGTTGTATTGCGGCGATTTTATGATGGTATTCGACTGGTGTTATTTTAATGTTATTATTGTGTTATTGCGGTATTATCATGATATTATTTATGTATTATTGTAGTACATTAAATTATATTAAAATAATATCACAATGCACCATAATAACACGATATGGTTTGATATTCATGTGTTATTATGGTGTTATGGTGATATTATTGTAACGTTATTAATGTGTTATTGCAGAAATAGTATCGTGGAATTATATAATATTTTTTTTAATAATGTCATGCTAATACCGCAATAACACCTTAATAATATCACAATAATACTACAATAATATCTTAATAACGTTACAATAACACTGAAATAACATCAGTTCAATCACCACAGAGCCGCTGCAATACCGATCAAATAACAACTACAGCCTAACTTGCAATAACGCCTAAACCGCCGCAATATCACTCAAATAATGTCGGGTTGTGCCGGGTCATGCATTAAAATATAGTTTTCCACTTTTTATTCAGTGAGTGTCTCACATGTGACGAAATTTTATTGAAGTCTGAATGCATAACTGCGTCCAAACTCCTAATGTAATATAATTTTTTTTTTAAAAAAAGGGCAGTTACATACATACCCCAATGTATATATATATATATATATATATATATATAAAACTCAAATTCTTAATATCACATAAAATATACCACTTTTACGAACTTTTTAAAACAGCAAAATATAGGCTTCGAAGCATACGTTAAGACATCAAAATGTTACCAAGTGTTAGATATATATAAATGCACAAGAATTCTGTGCTATCTATAATAAAATTTCTATATATAACTTTATTTAATGATAATAATTAATTAATTTTGGTAATTTAATAGAAATAACAATTTTAAATTTTGATCCACTCAAAATATTAAATTTGCAAAAATAATTTAATTTGAAAATTTTTAGAACCAAAAAGAACACCTCCAGCTCCAGACACCCACAGGCTGAAAGTCTCGAATTCCATGTCATCCACGTCTCATCTTATCCTCCCCACCGTCGTTCGCCCCGACTTCTCCCGCCGCCGTAAAAGGCCTCGGTTCCTCCCCGCCACCATTCCCAACTTCCCTTCTCCTCCTCCAATTCGTCCTCGAACGTCTCCTCCTACACTCGCAGCCGCCTCCATTTCTTCTCCCCTGCAAGCCCTAATCTTCGACTGCGACGGCGTGATCCTTGAATCGGAGCATCTCCACCGGCAAGCCTACAACGAAGCCTTCGCCCATTTCGCCGTCCGCTACCCTAAGTCCTCGCCGAAGCCTATTTACTGGTCCTCCGATTTCTACGATGAGCTGCAGAACCGAATTGGTGGAGGGAAGCCGAAAATGAGATGGTATTCCATTATTCTCCAGCTTTCTCTTCTTGCCTGAGCAAATATTTCTGAGTTAAATTTGACGTGCAGGTACTTCAAGGAGAATGGATGGCCTTCTTCTGCCATCTTTGTGGAGCCGCCTCTGATGGATTCGGATAGAGAAAGACTGGTAGACGTGATCCAGGTGAGTTTTCTTGGGTTATTGTTGTCTAATTGTTTATGTAGCAGTTCACAAATAGCTCAAAAAGTGACTTATTGTAATAGTCTTCTTGCTTGTGAAGGATTGGAAAACAGAAAGGTATAAGGAAATAATCAAATCTGGATCTGTAAGTACGACTTCCTTTTAAAGTGTTAAAGTGGGATTCTTATTTAAAAAAAGGGGAAATTTACAAACGTATCACACAATTCTTACGTATTTACATATCTGGCATTTAAACATTCATACATACATGCATACAACTCAAATCTTTAACATCACATAGAAAATATTACCATCACTATCTTTTTTAAATGAATAATGCATCTTTTCATGCATACATTTATGACACCAAATGTTGTTAAGTGTAAATATTCAGCTTTGAGTTTTAAATGTGTAAATACATAAGTATTGTGTGGTATATATGTAAATTTCTCATATATATATATATATCTCCATTACTTCGTTCCATGTGAGAACCGTAGCACACTCAAAATGATGCACTTTCATAGCTATGGAGAAAATAAAATGTTAACACTGTCTAAATTTCAGGTTGAAACTAGGCCTGGGGTTCTTAGATTGATGGATGATGCTAAGGGTGCGGTAAATATAATTCAATTCTACAGCCTGCTTGCTTTTATTCTCTCTACTGTCAAGTAATGAGGTTCTTTCTCTAGAATGAGTTGTTAGAAATAATTCCCTGATTGCTACAGGGTGTTAAGGTTGCTGTGTGCTCCGCAGCAACAAAAAGCTCTGTTGCTTTATGTTTGGAGAATCTACTTGGATTAGTAAGACTGAACCCAAACTTATTTTTCTTTTTCTTTTGTTTTTTTATATTCTTGAAGTATGTTAAAATTATTTTAACATTAGGTTGTGCCAAGATGACAACTTAATAATATTACATTTGTTGTGTATAGGAACGGTTTCAAGGCCTTGATTGCTTCCTCGCAGGTAATGGCTCCAAATTTTGTGGTTTGATTGATCAGCAGTCCTATGTTTGTTAGAAGAATTAATTGCCCTGCAAATCTTCTTGGTTATGGTTCTTCAAATACTTGCATTCTTAGCATGAAATATCTCATAGGAATTCGTGTAAAATTGAGCAAATACATGGAGGGAGTGGCATGGAATTTCATAAAGATTCGAAGATCTAAAAGACTTCTCTATTTAGAAAGTTTCAAAAGGCTTATTTTAGAACACTGGGATAGCAAAGCCTCTATGGTTGATTATAACATAGGTTTAATACTCAAGAATACAATCAATTAAGATTAAGTATATTGTCGGAGCTTAATAAGATTATGGGAGGAATATGTATGGATGGATGATTACCTTGAGATGGATTACATGATTTCTCCCAACTTTATCTGGTGAACCCAATATATCAATGATATTGCAGTTAGGAGGCCACGTCATCCAATAAGTTTGATTAGCAACCCAGAGTAATTGTGCACTAAAGGGACATTTATCCTTTCAAAATGAAGTCCAAAGATTCTAACTTACACTAAATTGCCTTGAGGGTGATAAAATAGTTGATAATAGTTCAGTGTGTTAGAATGTGATCATTGAAAGGTCAGTGATTGAGCTTCGTCTGTTTGTGCTAAAACTGACCACAGGCATGATGTGTGACCTAGTTCAATAAAAAATTTAGTAAATGATTGTGACACGGGATGTGTTCCCGAAACCCATAAAATTGACCAAGTTAGCCATGACTACATTAAATTCAATAAGGTTTTATCACTAGTTCAAGCTCATTTATGGCCGAAGTGTAACTACTTCGATTCAATCATAAGGTCAATCTAAACTCCATGTACCTCTAATATTTTCAAATGTAAAGAACGGTGTATTTATTTGTTTTGTATAAATTTTCACTAATAATATTGAACCAAGTTATATATAGGAAAGTAGGTTAGACTACAATTTCTAATGACAAATTACTTTTTTATATTCAAAGAAGTTGTATGGCTTCATTTAAAATTTGGGAAATTTTCATGCATATCATACAAATCTTATGTATTTACATATCTAACAGTTAATGGTTGATATTTATACTCACAACACTTTGGTGTTTGATATTTATACTCACAACACTTTGGTGTTACAAAAGCATGAAAAATTGATAATAGTGATATGTTTGATATAAATATTAAATATTTGAGTGTTGTTGATGTAAATATGAAAGCCTTTGTTAGATATGTAAATACATAAGATTGTTTGGTTAGGTAAATACCCCTTAAAATTTTCCTTTATTTTTCATAATCTTGGAGTGTTATCTTCACTATTTTTCTAATGTTACTTAAATTGGTTATCATCCCATTTTACAGCCACATCTTTCAATTACAAAATTGGTTATCAACCCATTTTGTTTTTCTTCGAATCACTCTGCTCATAATATTTAAACCAAACATTCATAAAAAACTAATTATATTTTTCATCGTATTAATCATGCTTCATATCTACCATAACTAAAATGTGTGCCTATTCCTCTAAATAGAGCTCTCATTCTAAAGGCTAATTCCAAGTCTTCTAATCACAGGTGATGATGTCAAAGAGAAGAAGCCCAGTCCATTAATTTATTTGGCAGCCTCTAAGGTATTTTCTTTTTAAAAAAAACAAAAAAAAATGCAAACAAGAATGCATTTTGCGCTATTTTCATTATTTCTTCCATTTTTTAATATCTTCGTCAACTTATTTTTCATTAAATTTAACGGCTGAAAAAACGTTGGTTACGTAACTCAGAAGCTCGGTGTGCCTGGAGGAAATTGCTTGGTAGTGGAAGATAGTGTCATTGGGTTGCAGGTACTTGAGCTACAGATAACTGTACGTAAGACGTGCTATAGCCTATTTACATTACAGAATTTAACTAATACTCCTTGTGATGGAAATAGGCAGCAACTGGAGCTGGAATGCCTTGTATAATAGCCTACACATCTTCAACTGCTAACCAGGTACTATTCTCGATTTTCTATGTAAACTAAATGTTTATTAATTCATTTTATTGCAAATTAATATAAAAAATTTGATATATCTACAGGATTTCAAAGAGGCGATTGCAACTTATCCAGATTTGAGAAGTGTCAGGTAAAAATACTATCATTTACTGAATGGATATGTTTATCTGAGATCTTCTGGGACTTGAGAGTTTCTCCTTTTTACAGGTTGGAAGATCTCGAGTTATTACTTCAGAGTACTGTGCTGTCCACCTAGCATGTTATTAGCCTATGCTTTTAGCCTTTTAGTTTCAAGTTCAGAAATCCGGATTATTACAAAATTTATCATGAAGCTTCTTTCCAGTGCAGTATATTCATTGTCGTGGATAGTGCTCCTGTTGAGACATATTGTACAATAAATAATGCTTGGATTAGTAATCTTACTCATGAAAGTTAAGAATAATCTAAAAATATATTGATTTTTTACTCTGCTCATTGTAGGCATTGAATATTTTGCCATCTACTTTTGAAGTTTTTACTGACTCCATAGTTTTTTTTTTTTTTTTCTTTAAAGACCTCTTGAAAGACAAAGCTCTCAACCACTAAAAAAAGACGGCTTGCATATTACTAACTTGATAGTTGAAGTTATTCTTTTTTTTAGAGCAGTTCAAAATTAAAGCTTGGTAATTAATGGTTGTAATTGGTTGAACTAATCCGTTTAGAACACATCAATTCAAATTTGGCTGAAATAAGACTACAAATCAGGCTCCAAATTTTGGGTTTCAATCCATTTTGGTTACTAATAATCAGGTTTTCATTTATATAACAAAAATTATACTATTGCATTCAAAATTATTGAAATGACATCTAAATGATTTGATAGGGGCCAATGATAGGCAGTCATAGAATTTTCTATCACAAATCAAAACTTCAACATAACAAACTAATAGTTATATGAAAAAATTATGTATGAAAGTTTAATTGGCATAAACGATTCATGGTGTGTTTGGGATAACTGCGGTTATATGAAATTACAGTTCAAAGTATTCCAGAAGCAATTGTTTTGATTGAAATTTTCAGGTTTAAAAGTGTTGTCTGTCGACAAATATATGAAATACTCCTCTGCAATTAGGAAACACATACAATGTTAAATTTTTATATGCATGCAATTCTCAACCATGTCCATATCGCTGTCAACCGACACCTTAATAATTTACAATTAAAAAATTTCAGCATTTACAACCCATAAACATCATCCTACTTGAACAACGTCAAACTGATCATGGGAACAAAAAAAATAAAAAAACTCATTGAAGCAGGGAATGAGATAGATTACCGAACTAAGGATTTGTACCCCAATTAAAAACACTCATTGATGTATATAAGTCCACCATTATAATTTAAAAATTGAACCCATCTGTAAAAATCACAACTATAAATCCTGACAAATAGTAAAATCTTAAATCTTGTTTCTCTTAAAAATGACAATGATAAATTCTGCCAAACAATAACAAGGGGGAGGCTTGTGATTACCTTGGGTCTCTCAGCAACAGAGAATTGCGAAGCACAGAAGGCTGCGATTGTGAGGTGTTCTTGTGAAGAGGCGAGTTTGTGAAGAGTCTGACCATTACTTCGGTTAGGAGTAATCAGGTAAAAATAAAATTATGAAAGTGGAACACGGCTTCCACAATGCGGCCGCGATTATAAAGAAAATGACACTGCGGTTTCATCGTCGTTCCATCAAACGCTTTATTCAAACGTGTGTTTTTTTTTTGTCTGGTTCAGAACTGAGCTCGAAAGACCCAAACAAACGCACCCCAAGGGTGTAAACTTGAGACCTCTTAAGAAGAGTTTAGTCTTATTGGATCATCTATAAATTAAATCTTTGGGGTTGACGCCCAGCTACTTAAAGAAACCTTGTTTTAAACTAGAGAACTCTTAAGCTATTTGAGTCTCCCAAATATTTGGAACACCTCCAGCTCGTTCAATCCATCTTATCCCTAATAATCTACCCATTGACTCAAAAATTAACTCAAACTTGCAACAATTCCATCATTAGCATTAGAAACTATTTTTAGAATTATTAGACTGATGATAAGTATTTTATCATAAAGCTTGCAAACCTAAAAACATGCACAGATAGCATCACAAATATTTCCCAATACTAGGACTCTCCAAGTCACGTAAAGCTAATAATCCAATTCTGAAGACTCCAACTATCATCAATATAATCAGCAATTAAACATATACCAAATAATTTGATCAATTTATCCTTGATATGATAAACTCATGCATTTCTTTTTCACTGTGCTCCTTGAAAGCCTTTAAAAACTAGAGTCTACAGCTTTCATCAGAAAAGCAAACAAAAATTGTATCAGTAATAAAGGAAATGATAATTTTCACAACTATCAATTTGTTTTTTATATGATAAAAAATGAGATGATTGACTTGAGAAAAAGCTGGGAGTATCAACATCCTCAATTTTAAACTTTGTTGATTTAATTTAAGACATTTCAACAACATATTTATTTTTTTGAACTGATCTTATGATAATCCTTTATGTTCCAAAACAATTGTCTTGTATTTCCTCACTTGAGCTTCAATAATGTGAGGAGTCTTCTTTTTCCTATTTTAGTGTTAACAATGTCTACAAAAATATAATTTTTTTCCTCTAAATTTCTTTAACAAAAATGTCACAGAAGAGAGAACACAAAGAACTTTTGGGCCTTCTTACACTTAAAAAAGTGCCAATCTCAGAACTACGCACAAAACAAAAGTATAGATTAAAAAGTGATACAAAGGTTTCTCATAATCAGTTTGGATTTATGCGGGAAGTCTATTATGGAAGCTATACATTTTTGAAAGGTTTGATGGATAAGTACAGAGAGAGTAAGGATGCTCTACTTATGATTTTTGTTGATTTAAAAAAAAAACTTATAAAAAGATTCCAATAGAAATTCTTTGGATAGTGCTAATAAAGAATAGCATTGATATGACTTATATGCAAGTCATTAAAGATATGTATACTAGAGTTATTAGCCGAGTTCAAACAAAAGGAGGACTGACCAAGTATTTACCTATTTCAGTTGGATTACATCAGGGATCAACTTTCAACCCATATCTTTTTCTTTTAGTTGTGAATGTTGTTACTAGACATTTACATGAGCATGTATTTTGGTGTATGTTTTTCGCTGATGATATCCTTCTTGTGGATAAGGCTAGAGAAAGAGTTCATGAAAAACTTAAATTATGAAAGTCTACTTTACAGTTTAAAGGCCTTGATCTGAGCAGATTTAAAACTGAATACATGGAATGTAATTTTAGTAGTAGTACATCTAGTGGCAGAGTTATAACAATGGGGGAACAAATCACTAAAAAGAGTGAACATTTTAATGAAGGAGAATGTATCTTGGTATATGTTTTTCACTTATGATATCCTTCTTGTGGATAAGGCTAGAGAAAAAGTTCATTAAAAAATTATGAAAGTCTACTTTAGAGTCTAACGGCCTTCATCTTAGTAGATCTATAACTGAATACATGGAATGTAATTTTAGTAGTGGTAGATCTAGTGGCAGAGTTATAACAATGGGGGATCAAGTCATTAAAAGGAGTGAACTTTTTAGATTTCGCGAGACTATTGTTCAAATTGATGGTGATATAGATGGGGATATTTTTAGTAGAATTCAAGTTGGATAGTTGAAGTGAAGGAATGCATCGAGCCTATTGTGTGAAAGAAAAGTACAACTTCAATTTAAAGGAAAAGTTTATAAGATGGTGGTGAGACGTGCGATGCTTTACAGTGCATAATGTTGGCTCATAAAAGAGAAATATAAAACTAAGTGAAGTGTTGCTGAGATGAGAATGCTTAAGTGGACGAGTGGCTTTATAGTTTAAGAGACAAAATGCGAAATGCATATATCCATAAAAGGTTTGTGTAGCTCCAGTTGTAGCCAAGATTAGATAGTTTGGTCACATTAACCGTCGACCATCTGATGATCCAATTAGTAGAGTAGTTGTTTTAGATTCAACTTGTGTAAAGAAAGATAGAGGTAGGCTAAAAAGACTTGGGTATATTGAATAAAAAATGATCTTAATTTATTAGAATTAGATTAGATAGTTTGGTCACATTAACCGTCGACCATCTGATGATCCAATTAGTAGAGTAGTTGTTTTAGATTCAACTTGTGTAAAGAAAGATAGAGGTAGGCTAAAAAGACTTGGGTATATTGAATAAAAAATGATCTTAATTTATTAGAATTAAATGAAAACTTGACACTCAATAAGACAATTGAGAAAAGGGATTCATGAAGCCGATCCCACTTAGTGGGATAAATGCTTGTTGTTGTTGTTGCTGTAGAAGCACAAATAAATGAAAATAAAATAGAGCAACAATAAAAGAAACAATCTAATAGTAAAAAAAATAAATATAAAAATATTAATCAAAATTTAAACAAACTAAATCACATATCTAACCTAAATGTGTTGAAAAGAAGCAGATCCAATTATAACAATGAAGAAAGTTATAACCTAACTTGTTTTTAGAGCAAATTTAGATGTGAAAGTGTTAGAATAAATATTAAACAAAGGAACAACTCTACAAAATTCATTAACGAAAACTGTCAAAAAAAATTCTATTAGAATTTTACCCAATGGTTGATGAAAAACTGGAGATTATAACGGCAGATGACATATTCTCAATTGTTCAATTTAAATGAAAGGTGGATGTTCATCACATATATACTTGGAGCTTAAAAATAAAGAAAGCTTTGTTCATGGAAGGTTAATTTATAAATCAATCATAAAGTTTTAATTAAAATTCAAATTGTTCATTAATGAATAAACAAATATGACCCGTTTGGAAAAAGAAGCCAGACAATTGATATATGTAACTGGGGTCTAGACAGAGATCAAATATTCAACTAAATTTGTAAATCTTATTGGTTACAATGGCCTCGACTGTGATCAAACAAGATTCAAGAGCGATTACAACGGCCAGCTAGATGTTAACGAGTAGGCCGTTAGTGTGAGGTATAGCATTAAAAGCTTAATTTTCACTAATGTGGAGGACTCATATTAGGAGTGATTGTTAAGATAATATTACATCAACAAAAAAATAATAGTTAGAGTTCTTAGTATATTAGTACTGACCCTAATATGGGCTTCAATTTTTTGTTTGATGAGGCGCAGCTATTATCAACAATGTTGATAAAACTAAACAGGAAAATGTCAGCATTTCAAATCCCATAAAACATCAAACTCACATCGAGCAATTTGTGCAATTAAAAATAATTTTACTAATGCAGGAACCAGATACAGGCATATACCTCTCCACATGGAAAGAATAACATTTTATTGAGATCCAATCAGCTCAAATTAAACCGCTGTTGGTTTGGCACCAATGTTCAGGCAGCAGCATTGAACCCGAGACTTCTTGCTGTGGAAACCTCCAGCGTTAAGACAACTCAATCCAATCAGCTCAAATTAAACCGCTGTTGGTTTGGCACCAATGTTCAGGCAGCAGCATTGAACCCGAGACTTCTTGCTGTGGAAACCTCCAGCGTTAAGACAAAGTTCATCAATCACCTGTGGATACTAAAGTTGTTAAAAGAAAGCTTATTCGAGTAAAAAATAATGGAGCGTTTACATACCACACAATTCTTCATATCTAACACCTAAACACTTATATTTACATACATTTCCCTCAAAGCTTTAACATCACATCAAACCACCATTACTACCTTTTAATAAGCGAATGCATGTTTTCATGCACAGGTTTATGACACCAAAGTGTTATGAGCATAAATATCAAACTTTGGGTGTTAGGTATGTAAATACATAAGCATTATGTGGCACGAATGTAAATTTCCAAAAAATAAAACAGGAGACATTTAGGTGGCTCACTTAGATTAAGTACAGGCAACATTTAATAAAAGAAAAGCATGGATTTCAAGCTACAAAGGAGGATGCCAGAGCAGCGTAGCATCTGCTGCTGCTAGATTTGCAGATTATGAAGTGACCTTCTGAATACAAATTGTACCAAATCATTCAGCAACCTCTGATCTGGAACGGCCAGTAAAAGAGTACAGAAAAATCAAGAAGGCCCCATTCAAGATATTTGAATGCATTATTATAAAAGAATGCATGAGCAAGACTTGGTGATTAGAATGACTGCCAGAAGACAATCATATGATGCAGATATTGGTCAACCTAATATAAATTATGCGTAGAAGTATATTTGTAATGATAGAAAAATTAACAATTCGGTCTTCGTCGCAAATTTAGACAATAAAGCTTCAAATATCATAATAACATCAAAATCCAGATGTGTTGAAACACTTTCAAAATATTCTAGAAGCTGAAGCGCTATCTGATCATCCATTTTCATTTTATGAGCTATCAATAGGTCACACAGACCTCAATTCATATCACATATCTGGAGTCTTCTACTCCCATGCAGGCAACACGTTAATAAAAGTGTGACTAGCCATACATACCGCAGCAAATTTTAATGCTTTTAACATATTATCAATATGAAAGCGACGCTGACCCAATACCCCTGGAACTAGGTTTCATTCCAAGTTTGATCAAACGATCTAGGATCAAAATAACAGATGAGGAAACATAAGCATAATCAACTCAAGCTCAAACCATGACTGGACTAGAAAACCTTAGCAGAGCATTGCTTGAGTTCTTTAAATGAACATGGAGGATACTCTAGTCAAAAGATGTAGGTAAAAAGTTTTAATACATTAAGTGCACAAGTATTTTCAAATTGAAGATCTTTCAAAAACAGATATCAAGATGGCATGCAATTTATCATATAAAATGGTTCCCAAAAAATTCAAGGATTTCACAAAAAGCAAGTATATCTAATATGGGCTGCTCACATATCAAAATTTCCTCTTCTCATGAATTGGTTTAACATAAAATATTATCAATTTGGTAAGAAAAATGAGGCATATCAAATAACATTTTCAGGACGAAAACTTTAATCAAAGCATGTCATAATGATATAGAATGCTAGCATAACACAATTATCATTTGCTCGGCTCAAAGTGATATATGATTAATCAAATAGGAATTTTATTATAGAAGCTCCACGCAAGAAAATTAGTGATAAAGCATATATCATAGAAGCTCCGGAAGCATTTATTATTATTAAAACACAAAATAGGGTCCAAGGTTCTAGTTCAATCTCACAGGTAGCTAACAACAGTAGGTCACACAAATCTTACGTCATATACACCTCAACTCATCACATATTTGGAGTCCCTGACTCTCAAGTAGGTACCCTAATCATTTAGTCACATATCATCTTGTTGCTTTCAACCAACCACATTGTCCACATAACATAGCCAGGTACTAACATTTCCAAAAGTCAATTTCATTTAGTCCGATCAAATAATATATGATTAAGATAACAATATGGAAACAATATTACAATGAAATAGGTGTGTCCTCATTAACTAACAAATAATCAAATAATGAACTGACATGAAAACTTTAAAAGATAATTAATCAAATTCTTTTAGCCACGAGTGGAAGCCATTCCAATAAAAACATGTGAAAAAATATTTTGGTATATGAAATTAATATGATCCGATGTCAAAATCGGCGCATTTTTCAATGGAAATTAGGACAAACACAAATTTTTTTCAATAATCCGAACAACGCAACCAAAATATAAAAGTTAAGCACCTACAATTCGAGAGGTAAGCAAACTCTCCCAATTCCTAGAATTCGAGAGGTAGGAAATCCCCCCCTAACTCTAAACCTAAGACTCACAATCCAATCTCATGCATGAACCTAACGCTAGACATAACAAGTCTATTTATACCCAACAATAATAATAATAAAAGACTAAATTGTCCTTAAGCATACAAAAAGACCAATTTTCTCTTAGGCCACGCGCCAACGAAACAATACTCAAACCCCCCAACCCCCCCCACACACACACACGCACACACACACACACAAAAGACACATTGTCCTCAATGTGGGGAAAAAGAGTGCCCCCCCCCCCCCCCCCCCCCCCCCCCCATCCCTCTCCTTCCTTTTTTCCTCATCCTGCACTACGAGAACTTGTAATTTTCAATCCTTGCAACAGTGTCCTGGAGTAAACTTCTCATCACACAGAAAACATAATCCCTTGACTCGCTTCTCCTGCTCTCTATCTTTATAAGGTGCTTAAGTGTTACTCTTAGTCGTGGTCTATTATTTGTCCCATGCAGCCTCCTTCTGGACTTCTACTGATTGAGTTTTTGGTATCGTCATGATCGTAGTAGTTCCATACAGCTAGGGCTGTCAAAAAAGCTCGTTGATTGTGAACAGTTCGGTTCGCCAGGGAGTTCGTGTTTGATTTGGTCGATAAGCAAACGAGACGAACACAAATAATTTTTTTTGTTCGGTTTTTTAAACGAACCAAACACGAACAGTGATGCGTTCGTTTGTGTTTGAATCGTTGTTGTAAAAAATATAAAATAATTTAAAATAATTATATATAAATTTTATGATATTTTAAAAATAATTATATACTCTAAAAATTTATCATATTTTAAAAAATTAATTTCTACAGATTATAATATATAATAAATTATTAATAATAAGATATTAATATACTATATTAGTAACGTAAATATTATATATTTATATAATATAAGTTATATAATTAAGATAATATACTATATATATATATATATATATATATATATATACAAAAAAAAGTGTAAAAACCCTAAGCCCTAACACCCTGTTTAGGGTTGGTTGTTTATGTTTGTTCTCTAATATATTTGTACTCGACAAGTCCGCGTTGGATCTAATACTCGGTATTCTTGCTTCAGTGCTTGGTTGCTCGATATTCTTGCTTGGTTTCTTATAAGGCTACTGAGGCGCCATCTTTGAGTGTATTTTCTTAAAAATTCCATATTTATCTTCAAGTTTGCCTTTTAGCTTAAATTTTCATAAATTTTTTTTAGATTTATTTAATTTTTTCGAGTGAAACCTAGGTTATGAAATTTTTTGGGAGTGAAATCTCTCATTAAAAAAAAGGCATATTGCCCCTAGATCTGATTTTATTGTGAGCAGTGAGCTATGTTTGGCCTATTATGATTCCCTTAATAGAAATCGGGATTTACAATTATCTTGTTGAACATCAGTATTCATAAAATTATCTTAAGTGATGTTCAAGTCCTGTGTATTTATACGTCTAACACTTAAAGCTTGACTTTTATATTTAGGGGCAATTACATTCAGATCACCTGAAACTTGCTATATTTTATCTTATTGTTGAAGTTCTAATTCAATTTTAGATGTTATTTATTATTTTTGATAATTTGATAATTAATAATTAAATTATTACCTATTTTACAATTCAAATAATATAAACAAAATTGAAAATTTTTGAATAATTCGAACAAATCAAACAATTCGAATAATTTCGAACAATTCGAGCAATTCAAACAATTCGAACAATTCGAACAATTCGAAGCAATTTCGAACAAATTGAACTGAACACGAACAGTGTCTTTACGAACAATTTTGAACACAAACCTATTTCAAATAAACTAAATTTCAAACGAACCGAACACAAACACGAGCTTTGTTTGTTTGTGTTTGGTTCGTTTACACCCCTATGTACAGCGTTCCAATTGTGTTGCTCCTACTAGCTTTCTTCATCTGATCCTTGTCTTTTATCATCTAAGATAGCTCCATTATCTCCCTCAATCCCCGCGGTCTCAAAAATCGAAGTGATGCCCGTATGTTGGGCTTTAGGCTCTTCATGAAATTTCCCTCCAATCCTGCTTCAGAAATCCCTCTCACCCGTCCCAACAATAGCTCAAATCTCTCCTTGTATTTCATGAGAGTTCCCTCCTCAATCAAAGCATAGAATTACTCGTGTAGGTCTCCTTCCCAAATTGCTCGAAAACTTTTCCAAAATCAATTCTTGAATTCCTCCCACAAATGGATCGGGTATTTCGCCTCCCACAAATGGATCGCATATCTAGCCTCCCTCCACTGAAACAAGGCTAGAGCTTTTCCTTCTAAACATAATCTTGACGTCATGAGTTTCTTCTCCCCATCTAGTCGACTCACCGTGAAGTATCGCTCTGCCTGATACACTCACCCATGTGCGTCTTCCCGTTTAACGATCGACATCTTCAACTTCCTAACTCTAACATCTCCACCCCAACTTCCTAACTCTAACATCTTCACCCAAAACTCTAACATCTACATCTCCACCCCAACTTCCTAACTCTAACATCTTCACCCAAACTTCCTCGTCCTCTGAGGTTTCCCTCCATGTATCGAGAGTAAAACTCTCTTCTTCGATCATAACCATATCTCCTCCCCGTTTCTCTCCTTTTTTCTTCGTGCTCTTCCATACCACTTGCATAATTTATGGTCCATGTTTCAGCCCAACCGCCTCCATAAAAAATCTCTAATTCACCCCTACTCAGAGCCCTGAGAGGAGGTTCATGATGGTGGATGTTTTCCTCCTCATGTTCCTCACATTTGATCTCTTTTCCTTTCAATTTAGCCAATGAATCTCCGGTTAACCCTTTGGTAGGGTTTGTAAATTGAACCACCAACGGGGTTTTGGATTGCATCTCAATAAGCTTTTTTATCATCTCTCGAATTTTACCCATACTTTTGAGTTGGTCCTCCATTTGATTCTCCGTGGAAGAAAACTTATCCTCTATAGCGACGAACATTTCTTTCAACACACATCTGATTTGGTTGATCTCTACCACTAATTTATTATTCAAATAATCTATTTTCTTAGTTGTCATTAATTTCTATCACTAGTGCATGATCGTTTCCTAATCTGATCATTCACTTCAGAAAATCCCTATATAAACTGATCGCAGAGTTTCGTGATCCCGTTGGACGATGAAGCAAGCCTGCAACTCGCGCTCATGTCTTTCTCCTCCTCCCACTCTGTCTATCAACAAAGGTGCAAAACTCGTGTTAACCCGAAACTTGTGTCTATCTCATCCTCCTGCTACGTCTGGCAATAAAGAGGCCAATTACAGGTTTCTGGATGTTGCAATCCGCCAGTTTGGAGAATTGTATTCAACGATCTCGTCGATGTTGCCCCAGCAACCTCTGATCGCGAGCATATCACAAGGTTCGGTCAGAAAGGTGACAAACAAAGCTTTGATCGCAACTGTACGCAAAGAGGTCTGATAAAGCGATCGTGTGACTCTTTACGCTGAAATTGTAAGTAAATCGCGAGTATCTGCTCTTCTGTAGCTATGATTACCATAATACTGAGCTCTAATACTAATTTGGTACGATTTGATGCAAAAATCGACACAAATTTTCAAAAAAAATTAGGGCAAACACAAATATTTTTTTAAATAATTCTAACAACTGAACAAGAATACAAAGAGAAATACCTACAATTCGAGAGGTAGGCGATCTCTCTTAATTCCTATAATTCAATTGATAGGAAATCTCTTCAGAACCCTAGACCTAATACTCATGGCTCAATCTCATGCTAACCTAACCCTAGACATAACAAGCTTATTTATACCCAACAATAATAATTACAAAAGACTAAATTGCCCTTAGGCGTACAAAAGACAAATTTGTACTTAGGCTAGGTGCCAACGTAATAGAAGTATCCAAAAATTTTCAAATTAATCCTATTTCTAAGAGATCAATGGGGCATGCAAATTCAATTGCATCAAATGGTCTTAAGGAATTTTGCTCAAAACAAATCAACACAACATGAATTACTCATCATTAGTTATCAATTAACCATTCTCCTCCTAATCCTTATCTTGTTTATTCTTCCTCACCCAACTCACTTGAAGAAACTCCACAACAAGCCAATGATTCCTCCAAGCTTCTTTGGTTAACATAATACATCATCTCTCCATTTACAACAGACCCTTAAGCTTCCATGGCTTTCTTTTCATCTCTATGGAGAATTCAAGTCATAGGAGTGTAGAAATAATGTAAGCAAACATTCATATGCTATCATATCAGTCATCGCTTGCATCAAAGAGAATGATAACATTTTACAACAAATTTAGCTCTATTATGACAGAAAAAAGAATCAACTTTCAGTTTTTAGATCTCTAACAAAAAAATATATAGCACTCGAAAAACATCAAAATAAATACTAAAATCACAATTAAACAAATTTCCTGTCGAAGGACATTACCTTGTATGTCCAAGGAGCCTGCTTTCCGAGTGACATCTAAACATTAGATTTCGGAAGCTCCTTTTCCCATAAAACTTTCATCACAAAACCAATAGGATCTGAAGCCTATATGTTAATTTAATCAAATCATTTATTCCACAATCTTTTCACCCTCCAAAACATTGATTCTCTTCCTGAAATCAATTTGAATCCTGAAGACCAATTTCTCCTCATTCCAAAACATGTGATGAAAAACTTAAAAATTCCATGCCATTTCAAACTTTAATAGCTCCAGCAACTCCGCCATCAGCCTCTTTTTCCCCTTCCTTCATGAGAGCATATCGTCTTAACTTCTCTTCAAACAAGACCAGAGGGCCCTTCTCAATCAACGTGCCATCCTCCTTATAAGCATCTCTCAAGAAAACAGCCCAGTTCATCTCCGTCCCGGCCAAGTAAAACGCCCGCGGCTGCTTCAAAAGCATATGGTAAGTATGCCTCGTGAGCCCAAACTCCTCCTTGAACTCCACTATATGATGAATATAGGCCCTTTTCTCCACTGTCAAACTCAAAAATTCATGAATAATCCCAACCCTATACTTCTCTGCTTCCAATGTCCACGGCTTCAGCTCAGAACCATCAGTATATGGAGAAATCAAAGGCAGCGTCGTCAAACAATTCATCTTTCTCTCATCGTCCTCATCTAAACCTAAATCCTTCCCGTGAGGAATAGCAAATTTGAAGGTACGCAGAACACGTTGCTCGTCCGCCACTGAGTCGCGCTCGAGCGCGCTGACAGCAAGAGCCGGCTCCCATTTAACGAGCTCGAGGACACGCCGACCGTCGGGATCAACAGCGACTCGGAAAAATTCAGGGTACTTGTGAACGCGGTCGCGGAAGTCATCCGGAAGGCCAAGCACATGGCGGCAGTGATGGAGCTTGGCGAGGGGGATACGGCAACAGTGAGAGATCATGAGAATCTTACGAACAGCGGTGACGCGATCTTCTTCAGTATTATTGAAAATGGATTCCTCCTCCGATAGGAGGGATTCCATTAGGGGAGTGAAGGAGAGGTGAAGGGGTCCATAAGGCGACGGGTGAGGGAAAATGCGGAGGAGAAAAGAGTGGCGAGCGGCGAAACGTGAGGGTTTGCGGCCGCGAGGGAAGCCAAGCTCGCGGGGGAGTTACCGGCTGCGGATAGAGAGATAATGTGGAGGGGTTGGCGCGAGAGGAAGCAACGGGTGCGGGAGATGAAGCGGAAAAGGGAGTCGCGGTGGATGATAGCATCAAGAGCTGGAAGGGGGCGCGGAGTGGAGGTAGCGATGGGCTTGACACGGGGACTGGAGAGCTTCTTGCGGAGTTTCTTCCTGCGCTTGCAGTTGAACAGCGGAAGAATGGAGGAGGGTGAGAATGAATTGCAGTTGCGGGTAGGGTTTGAGTTTGTGAGGAAAAAGGATGGTGGGGGGAAGATGCGTTTGTTGATCGATAGGAGGCGACATGCCATGGTTTTAGGGCTTCAGGTTTGGATTTCGTCTTCTAACCAGAGAGGCGAGGGGACCATGATTTTGCTCGCAGGAAATTTGGACATCATACATGCATTCCACTCCAGTCTTGTACATTTAAGTATCAAATGTCCCTTCATATTAATGTACCTACTTATGTACGTACGTACATATATATATATACATACATACATATACGTTCATATATATACATACATACATATACATACACATACTATATAAATATATGTATGTATATATAAATATATGTATGTATATAAATATATGGATGTATATATAAATATATGTACGTATGTATCAATATATGTATGTATGTATGTATGTATGTGTACGTACATTAATTATATATTTAAGTATCAAATGTCCATTCATATTAATGTACGTAAATATACATACATATATACATACATACATATACATATTAAATATCCATTTTTTCATATTAAACCGATTAAATATATGAAAGTCCCAAATATCATTCTTTGCCCAACTTTTTACTAACTGTCTGAGATATTGTAGTTGGATTTTATTTTTACAATGAAAATTTGAACTAAGTGAAGCAATTATTATAGTTTATTATGTCCAAGGCTCGTTGTAGTGTGTTGAGCCTAGAACACAAAGACATTTGCATGCACATCGAGTGTGAAACATGCTTACCTATTATATGCACCCAAAAATAATTGGCATGAATCTCGGGATAATTGGGTGGTCTACATCAAAATGAGTGAACGAAGATCATCACCTAACCAAAAACTGCAAGCACTCGTGAATCCGATCAACCGTCAGTCAACCGAAGGGATGGCGATTGACTATAGGTTTGACGAACAACTGAAGGTTAGTATGATAACCTATAGGGCTGTCGAGACCGACCGAGAGTAAAGATTCATGACAATGAACGAACAAGGGTCTAATACCCCCGACAACTCTCAACGAAAGTCTCTCTCAACAACTCCCTTAAAGATGTCCAAAAATCACCAAGGGACTGCAATCAAGCAAGGTGATCATCCACCAGGCAAATAACTGATTTACACAAGCTTGGTCGGTCAAGCCATGGACATGTCTGATAGAAGGTCCAAACTAGATGAAAATGTATCGAAATCAGTTACAAATACAAAAAGACACTACAAAAACAAATAATGTCATGTAACAATCATATTAAAACAGGGACAATCATGTAATTTCCACCTTTGACTCTATATCTCATATAAATAGGAGATTCATAGCATGTATTAGGAGTTTTTTTGTTCTTATTTCTATACTCATATTTTGTAGGGAGAGCCCTTTTCACTTCTCTCTTGTAACCCCAATTTTCATTATATAAAATGGGTTACAAAATCCAAGAATATTTCTTGGGGCAATCAATCTGTGTGTTTTTTATTTCTCTCTCTCCCTCTCTCTCTCTCTCTCTCTCTCTCTCTCTCTCTTGAAGTTCCAACAGCTTCGATCGTTGTGCATGCCCCGCAGGACAAATATAGATTCAACATGTATAAAATTATTATTGTATTCAATTAAAATTGAGCTTGAGCTTTGTGGAACACTATCATAGTATGTGTTGGATGCATGTTCGAGGTGCATGCACCATAAATTCAAAGGTAGAACCAGGTTATGTTCAAGGTGGGCAATTGTCCACCATAAAATTTGAGATTTCTCTATATGATTAGCAAAATTTTAAAAGTTTTTCTTATGTAGTTTAGTTAATCTATTAATTTTGTCCCCATTGATATAGTTTTTTATCCAATGCATAAAAATAATTAAAACGTTAAGTGATGTTGCCCACCCTAAAAGACAAAGCTAGTTAAGTCCCTTTTGATAGATCACGGATTAATGTGTTGGATTTTTATAATTATATATATTTTTATTATATGATTGTCCATCTTAGCTTCTAAATAAGAAGCATAACTTTATAAGTCGTTTATGCATGCATAATTTGACTTTGAGTATTATCATAACTAACTTTGTTTTAATTTTTATTGTTTGGTTTTGTTTTGTAGTAATCTCTAGTTTAGAATAGTGCAACAGACTATAATTGTAATATTCAACATATAATGAATCTCTTCCGATAGATTCCATTGTTTTTTCTTTATCAGTTTTTTAAGTAAAAATTTCTAGTGTTTCTACGAGTTATTTTTCTTTTATCGGAATATGTGTTGAATTCTTATGTAACGTTAAGATGATAATCTATTACTCTGACACCACGAATCTTCTAGCACGCATCAATACTTTTGAGAATATTTAAAAAATAATATTTCAAAGCCTTTTAAAAAATAATGATACTTAATAGAAAAGGTGAAATATGTTTTCTTTTAAATAAAAATATAAATAATATAGCATTAAAATAAAAAATAAAATAAAATAATGAAAAATGAACCAAACACCCTCTAAAATTTTAATTAAAATTAATTTCATTTTCTTGAATTTTTAAAATATTTATTTTTTATTTTTTTAAAATAAATTAACATATTTTTAAAATCACTTAAAATAAATATTAAGTAGCTTTAAAAGTAATTTTATTTTTTTTATCAAAATGTTTAATTTATTTTATTTTAAATAAAAAAAGAGATTTTACAAATGAAGACTTCTAAAAAATGTTATTTAGCTATACAACTTGTAAAGATTAAATTAACGCATGAAAGTTACTGTTGCCATCCGACTTCCTCCGCCTCCGCTCCTGCCCTCCATCTCGAAGCCGCCCTTCTCTGCTCCTGCCCTCATGAAACTCACCTGTAACCACGTTCGACACAGTACAACAGATTGGAAAGCATCGTCTCCTCCACATCAAAAACCTAGGCGTCCTTCACATCCTCGGCGAGCGGCTCCGAACGAGCGAAGGCTGAGTCCTCTCGTGCCCGTCACGTACTCTCACACATATCCTCCGCATACCAGTTGGACCATCTTCCATGGCGCCAGGTTGTTCGCTTCAACGGCGAACCGCCAGCTGCACAGAGCAGCCACAAGTTCTCTAATTCTCCGTCGCCGCCGCCAGCCACTTGGCGATCGACGATGAGCGGCTAAGTGGGAAGCAGGAGAAGGCCGAGATTCTGAGGACGAGGAAGATTGGGAGCGAGGGATTCATCAGAGAATTTTGCCCATGGCTTGTGAGGTGGAACAAGGAGTAAAAAGAAAATCAAGAGACAAGAAACTATATGTCCTTCGAATATTCTCTGAATCTTACTCTTTCTCCTTGAATCGACGGAGCGGCCGCCGGGCTTGGAGGAAGGGGGCGGGAGCAGGGGCGGATGGAATCGGTTGGCCTGGCCGGAAGAACGGCATGGTAACAGTGACCTTTTATGTGTAAATTTAACCTTTGAAAATCTTTAAATAATATTATTTAAAAACCCAAAAACAAAAAATAATTCCATACCGGCCCTTAAATTTTGGGATTCGTCCCGGCCACGCAGCGAAGTAACTGCAAGAAAGGTCGCGGCCTCCAGCCACCGCGCTCTGTCCCTCATCGCAAAACGGAAAGTCGCCGGCATGGTGGCGGAGCTAATTCCAGTCATCGATCTACGCTACCTCTCGCAATCAGAGCTCACCACCCTTGCTCTCTCCTCTCCCAATGCTTTCGACCTTCGCCGTTGCGACGACATCATCGTCCCCAAAATCGACCGTTCGGTCTTCAACGAGAGCGCCGGAAGCCGTAAGCAAACCTACTCCCGCCTCCGCCTCGCGCCTCCCAAGCCGGACTCCCCCTCCCTTCCCCGCCGACGTGGACGACCTCGCTCCATACCCCTGCACACTGCACCCACCACCACCCCATCCGCCTCGGCACCTCCTGCCTCCGATGACAATTCAAAAGATCCCGATCGCCGTGAGAATCTCCTCATCGCGTCCTTCCTTCGCCAGCTTTTCTCTCGGGAGGACCCATCAGCCCAAACCCTAACCCTAAACAAGGCCGTTTCAACCGTGTGCGTAAACGAGAACAATGATGGTTGGAAGAACATTCTTGCTGCAGCGGAGGAAGCGCAGAAGGCTCTGGTTCTTGCGGAGGACCTGGATCGAGAAGTCTTGAATTCGAAGGGCGTGGCTGTCGATTTGGTTGCGCTGGGTCAAATGGAGGATCCATTTGGGGAGGAACTGCGCAGGAGGTCACTGGGATTGAAGACGGAGGAGCAGCTACTTGGATTTCTTTCTGGCGTGGAGGGGCAATGGGCGAGTAGGAGGAAGAGGAGGAGGTTTGTGGATGCTTCTCATTTCGGGGACGTGTTACCGAAATCTTGGAAGCTCCTTCTGGGACTTAAAAGGAAGGAGGGCGTTGCGTGGTTGGATTGCAGGAGATATGTTAGGTGTGCTGATTTTTCTCTCTTTATCAGTCAGCTAATACTTTGCTCATCCGCTTGAGTTTTGAGTACAATATTTTTCTGTGAAATACAAATGGGTGCTTTTTACGTCCTCTGATATATTTATGGTTTCTGACGAATGCTTGTCTTACTGTTTTGTTTTAACAGTTTTGCAAAAATGTCCTTTTATGTTCTTTGATCTGGTTTACATGCCTGTTAAGTTATGTTCTTGTTTAACCTGAGATGTGATTGTTTTTTTGGGAGCGATGATAATTCATAGGCACTTATATGTATGGTTAAACTATGTTATTTTTCAATAATTTAGAGCTTTGGATGCATCAAGCATACAAAATGTTGTTCCATGTGAAAGGGCTTAGGAAAATATTTATATTCCAGTTTCATAAAAAAGACCGTTTGATAGGAATAATTTGTGACTAAAATAATACTAGATCATGGTGAATCTTTTCCTGCTATGTCCTAGTATTGGCAAACATTTAATTAGATTCGTTGACAGTTTTAAGATTGGTTGCCAACATAACATTAATATATAATCTTTTGCATTGGTGCTTAGTGCCGGTGATGACAGTTTCAACTAATTAAATTCCTTTCTATAAAAAAGTAATGCTATTAATCAAGGAGATAATCAAATAATGTTCCCAATATTATATTGAAAAAAGCTGAATAGGATGTGATTAGGCAATAAAATGTCTCATTATGATTTCACACATCTCCCAGCTGTGAAGTGTTTAATCATTCATAGTCTTTCCATGAGTAGTTGGATTCTTAATGATTCGATTCCTGCAAATAATCTTTTTTTGCTTTTTGAACTCAATATTCCATTCTACTACTCATTGCATGTGGGACCAATGAGCCCACATAACTTATGCAGGTGCATGGAGCTTCACTTTATGTAGCAGACTATCTTTCAGGTTGTTGCAACCTTTACCGACTTGTCTTCTCTATCGGTTATAAAAGCAAGAAAATGATATATAAACATTGGCTTAATTGTGTTTAATTTAATTGTGTAGTTAATTTCTTGTAAATCTTCTTCATCTTAGTCCATCTAACTCACACTTTTTTTTTCACAATATTTGGTTAGCCATAACAAATTGCTATTTGTTCCTTCCCTGGCATATATTGCAGCAATATTTGTAAGTTTCTTTTCACCTGTTATTCATTTATTCTTTTGCTTTTGAGGCCTTCATTCTTACAAATCAAGCCACAAGAACTGAGAAAATTTTCTTTTGTTTCTCTTACTCTATACTTGATATTTTATCATCTTCTAATGTAGTACTCAGTTGTAGACTCTTTAATCATCACATTATGAACATGCTTTAAATTCATTTTAATTTATTTTTCATTCAGGCTTTCTTAGTTGCAACATCTGATATGTTTTGTTGTGTAAAAAGTTGGGCAAGTTTTTGATACTGTTGTGTACTGTTATCAGAGTCCTTTTGATTAGTCATGATTGTGTTTTTTCATATGCACTTTTTAGTCCAAATGGGCACCAATTCATGTCTTGCAAAGAGGTTTCTTCATACATACTCTCCCTTCAAGGTGCAATTCCGCCAATTCCGGAGCGAGATGATAATGACACCCCTCAGTTTGACAAAGTGACTCCTGGATCTGTAGGTATTTTTGAAAACTTCATTTTAAATTTGAGATTTATGCTACTACCTCATCTTTATGTATTTGAAAGACACAATAGGATGCAGGTCAAAACCATCAAAGTTCCATCTCCAATGGAAACTCTGTTTTCTCCCCCACTATGCCCGCCTCACATATTTCTGGTAACCAAGAGAAACAACCAGAAGGCACAAGCTACTATTATGCTACTCCAATTTCTTATATTCCTTGTGATAATGCGAAGCAGCAGCTTTTATCCTCCCAACAGAGGAGAGCCAAAAGACGCAAGCTTGGTAAAACAATTGTTGATGGTGTAATCCTAAAGGATGGAAAGTTTGAATGTCAATTTTGCCATAAGGTATTTAACGAGAGACACCGCTATAATGGCCATATCGGTGCTCATGTAAGATACCAAGGTTTAACTGCTGATGCAGTAGTTGATGAAATTAGGGCAAAGAAAATCACAGATCAATCTTCTCGGGCTGTGGTGCCATGCAACTCTTCAGATAAGGAAGCTTCTACTATGAAAATTCATGTTAGTCAAACTATTAATTGTATTACACAGCCGAGTAGTCCTCAGGCCATAGGAGGTAAAACTGAAATTTCTGCTGCCAAATCTGCTGATAGTGGCCATTTAGAAGGGATTATTGAGGAAGGGGTTGTCACAGAAATTAAAGTTAATGATTGTGCAGATAACACGTTGCCCTCTGCTAGCGACTTGAATGCTACCCCTCAAGACTGCTCTCCCATGATAACTGAGGAAGCATCACCTAGCAAACCTGTTGGTGATGAAGTCAGTGATCCTCATATAGATACTTTTCCGAAACACTTGGAGGATGCACTTTGCAGTTCGAGTAATGAAATAGATAGTCAGTCCTCTGTGAGCAAGGCTAAAGGTGCAAATTCTCCAAATATGGCAAATCCAGATCCTGCAGTTTGTAATACTGATGATGTGCTTAATTCTCTATCCATTGGCAGAACCTTTGATGGTATTTCTATGGCTGCATTGGATGCTGATAATATCGTTCATGAAGCTATTAATGGAAGCGATCTCCCTTATTCCCCAAGTAAAGCTGAAGTTTTTGAGAGAAATGACTGCAATTCAATTAATTACACAGCCCATAAGTCTCTGTGTAATAGCGACTATATGGATGCAGATACCAATACCTGCTATGATTTATCTCTGTCTCTAATGGATATGGATGTGAAGGCCAAGGATAAGCATAATGGAATAAATCCTTCTCCTGGCAATTTATCTTCTGAATTTGAAAATTATAATGATAAGCTCATGGTAGAAATTGAAAATCATTCGTTCTCATTGTCTGGCAGTCAACTAAGTAATGAATGTGTAATGTACTCCGATAGATCCGCTCATGCTGTTGGAGAGCATGTTGAAAAGCCTAAATCAAAAGAAAGGCGAGATGCAAGTGAATACTTTCATCAGATTTTTGACAAAAATGTTGTTTTGGACGGTGGCATGCCGGGCACACTTCAGAATAGCTCTACTTTCTCTTCTTTCAGCAGTGAGCAGATGCGGGATCTTTCTGCAAATGCAGATTGTCCCTTCGGTACTGACATAAATGAATGTGTTCTTCAAGATATTGATAAACCAATCAATGAGCTGGAATTTTTTTTTGGTGGGAGCAACTCTGTGCATGAAGGGAATGCTGCCAATGAGATGATCGAAAATGATGTAGAAAGTGAGACTGTTCACATCAGTTTGTCTAATTCGTCTTGGTTGCAATCAACAAATGTTCTTCCTGTTCTTGATATGCTGCCTGACCAGGTAATGCAGTTTAAATATTGTCTATATAGTGGAGGAAAACAACCATGAAATTATTGCTTCATCTATTCAAATCTAAAGTTTCTACCATATCAACTAAAAAAATGAAATGAGAAGTTGTTGACTATTTCTAATTGGTTTCAGAAACACAATCAAGTTGATGCAGGATGTTCTATAGTCCAGGTTTTGTAAAGGATACCAAGCTTGCAATGTAGATTTGTATGTGATAAACAAATTCAACAAACAAATACATTTTCTGGGAAAGCTTGCCGTTAGTCTTACGCTGATTATTTGCTGCTTTTAATAAAAATAAAATTGGTTAAAATTCATTTTATATGAAGTAGGTTTGGCTCTTTAGCAGAAATTTCCAACAAAAGATTATATATTATGAAAACCATGTAAATGATTGAAATTTTATGCATATAAATGTAAGCATTGTGTAACATATCTTGCTAAATCAGTTACGATTTGACAAATAACAATTGAAGAAAGAGGATTGATGCGAGGGCTTATCTACCACAGCCCACCCTCGGATAGAAGGGCCAAACCAGCCAACCTGCCAAGGCTACAGTGCCTCCTTTCCTATTCGAAATGACACACCCCTTCCTTCTTTGTTTGTCGCCCTTGCCTTCTCTGTTTGCCGCCAGCCTACCCTTCCTTTTCTGGTTTCCACCCAAAGGGGAAGCCTCCCCTTCCTATTTTTTCTCCTAGCTATTATATATTTGTTGTTTTGCTTGCAATAGGGTTAACTTTTGATTAATTCTAATTTCAGATTTCTGCCTTCAGGCGTTCTCCCCCCCCCCCCCCTTCCCTATCCCCGCCGCCGCCGCAAGCCGCACCTGCTCACCGCCAGACCCTGTTCTCCTCCCTGCTCCATCTAGCTACCTGTTTGTTCACCGCAAACCTACACCCTGCTTTCTATCACAATTGAAACCCTCACTAGCCCTTTATAGCTCACCATCACCCATCCTAGCCACCCTCTTTGTTGTTCTCCGGTCATCCCAATCCGCCCTGGCGGAGAATTCTTGTTGTGCTGTACTTTTCTTTCCTAATTTGAAGCTTGTTTGTATCCTCGGTTTTGAGCAATAGTATTTATATTTCTCTTATGGTTTGGGTTAAATCCGGTATCAAGGATGTAGAGTGGAAAACAAGGCAATAGAGAGAAACAAATTGTCATGCCTTCTACTTGATTATGGTCTAGAATTCTTGAAGATGATTTACATTGCCATAAATAATATTTATTAAAACATAAAATTGTTTCTAAACATGCCTCAAAATCCTTATTCGTAAACTTCATGACAAAACAAACAGGATGGGTAGCCTTCCCAAGGAAGAAGTTGTTAGAGCAGCAAAGAAGCCTGTAAACATCGCAATGAAACGAACCTCAAAAAATTAGCAATGGAAGGATCGAAGAAGGAACTATGATAACTGCCTGTGCAATAGTTGAAGCTGAAGAACTTAATGCCACTAGAAATTTTGGGGAATAGTCATTGGAATAGGAAAGTAGGAGCCAGCATTTAAATGCAATAGAGAAGCTGTAGGAATAGGGCTCCTTTAGTGATAGAAATATGATTTCTTTAGTCATAGCAAGTGGAAGTCAATAAAACATCATAAGAAACCGAATGAAAACCGTGACCACCTTCAAACTTGAGTTATTTCTATGAAAAGCTAATTATCTATTTATTTTGCATTTCTCATAAATTTTCAAATTGTTGGATAAAAAATTGACAAATTTCCGGAAGCCATAAATTAAGATCATATTACTCTCTCATGTGGAGTAGTTTCCATATTTTTTGCATATGTTGTGTGATTAATTAAGTTATTTGATTTTATTGTATTCAGAAGGCATCATTTTAGAGATAAGAGATTTATGGGATTTGATCAAATTAGATGCTTTAAAGTTAAAATGTATATAATCCTTGTCCAAAATAAAGACATCAAGGAAAGATGAATATTTTCTTTTGAGAAATTATTAAATGAGGGATTTAAGGAAGAAACTCTTTTGAAAGAGAATAGCCAACAATGTGCTGTGTTTTGTTCTAAGAAAATGAAGTGAATTTGGCTTTAAAAAAGTTGCATGAAAGATTAGATTTTATATTTAGATAAGATACTTGTTGTGGTTCTAGATTTATGGTAGATACTGTAGTGATTTGGTCAAGAAATCCTTTTAATAAAATTTTGAAATCTGAGAGGATACAAAAGAAATGGACAAGTGGCATTTGGTATTATTATTTAAGAACAGAAGCAACACTAAAACAATTGTGCTAATAGAGAAATCAAAATTATGAATCATACAATGAAGGTGTGCGGCTAGTAATTAAACTTAACCGGCGAAAATTACATCAATTTTAAATGAATAATTTGATTCCATTTCAGAAAGACATGCTTTTAAAGATATTTTTGTATTATTAGGGCTATTTTATTAAATTGGGCACTAAATATTTTTAAGATAAGGAGGATGCTTAATGATTAAATAAGAAATATTTGGTACCAACATTTAAGAATGGAAATGAAATTTAAGATTGTGCAAAGTATAGATGAATAGAACTTATGGTCATAGAGTTAGAAAAGGCACATTAATTTTGGATAATTAATTTGGTTTCATGTTAGAAAGATCCATATTAATTAATGAAGCAGTGCATACAACAACAACAAGAAGAAGTTTTTATCCCACTGAGTGGGGTTAGCAAATGAAGCAGTATATAAAATAAAAAAATGACTCTCGTATGAGAAGACATACGATCGAGCATCATGAGAGTTAATTTTGTGTGCTTTAAAGAAAAAATGTGTGCAAATGATATTTTTATGTTCTTAAAGATATATATGTTGGAGTACTGACTAATATTTGGAATAGTTATGTTGTGACTTAGTTGTTTCCAATAACCATATATTTATTTCATGGAATAACATTGTACCCGTATCACTTTAAGTTGGTTATAGAGATGTTTAGAAAGGATAATTAAAGTAAGTTGTCATGGTATACACTTTTTATTGACATAATTTTAATTGTTGAGACATCCATTAAATTTAGTGAGAATTCGAAGGAATAGTTGTTTTAGAATTAGTAAAGTAAAGATTGAGTATATAATTAGTAATTTTACTGCGCAATTATTATAATAATTATCATTTAATATTATTAGAAAATTTTGTGACGCATTGATGTGTGATGGGTTTAATTATCTTGGTTTCATTATATAGAAGGATGGAGATGTGCATCGAGTTATGGCTTTTAGAGTATAGGTTGAAGGGATTAAATGAAGAAGCACCCAGAGAGTTTTGTGTGATGGGAGAATACATTGGAAGCCTAATAATTTTTTTGAAAAAAAATCCCAATTAGGCCAACGATATTATATGATTTTGAATGTTGGACTTAAAAAACATTTATATATAAGTTGAGCATGAAAAAAAATGAGAATGTTAAAATGAATGTTTGATAAAACTAAGAATGATAAATTAAAAATAATTATTGTAATACCTTGTTTCTCTTGCTCTATTAGGGTTGTATGCATGTTATAACAAATTTGAATAATTATGTGGCAACAAAAAAAAAATATTATGAGTTGTTGCGATATTCATATTGTAAGGCTTTAAAATATTTAAAGTCACAAAAGAAATTGGACCAAAAATATGCCAAATGGTTCAAATTTTACATTACTCACATTTTTTATGAAATTGACAATAACATTGATGATGCTTCAAGCCTGTGGCTGTCATTTTGCACTAATGCAAGTTAATAGGTGTATAAAGTATTTAGGAAGAATACATAAATTGTAAGGATTTCAATGAAATGTATAGTGATTTAACTGCCACATTGCCTATATTTAGAATTTGGTAATTAAAGATGGTTTTCTTTTTAAAGGACTTTAACTTTGCATCTCTAGCTTATGCTTTTGACATTTTCTTATCTTAGAACTACATGCCAGAGGCATCGTAGGCTGTTTTGCTTGAGATTGAACTTTTACTATGGTTCATTATTGTTATTATTGGCCTAATTTAAAATGGGATGTTATACATATTATGCCACAATGTATAATGTGTCAAATAACCAAATGAAAGAATATAATTACTAATTTTATAAACCGTTACCTATTGAGGAAGATTTGAGCAACAAAACAAGCCTTTATCCTACCAAGTGAGGATGGCTACATTAATCCTTTTTCTCCATTGTGTCCTATTAAGTGTCATATTTTTCTTTAATTCTAATAAATTAAGATCATTTTCTATACAAAATGCCCTTGTTTTTTTAGGTCTATCTCTATATTTCTTAACATAAATCGAATCTAAAACATCTACTCTCCAAAGTGGGTCATCAGATAGTCGACGTTTAATGTGACCAAATCATATACGCGACTTTCTGTAATCTTGTTTGCCGCTAGAGCTACTCCAACACTTCTATGGATATATTTGTTTTGGATTTTGTCTTTTAAGTGTAAAGATTACCATAACTTTATATTAAGACAACCATAGAAGCATGAATTGTATATAAACATGATTATTTGTAGCAATTGATTGCTTTTAAAGGTGCTCATTTAATCTACGTTTAAAGTTGTTGATGCAACTCAATATAGCAAAATAATATTTTAATGAAGCAGTTAGGTTGTACATGTAACAATTGTATCTACTAATTATGTAAAAATCTAAAGTTTTTTTTGGAAAACTCCAAAAAAAGGAAATTCAAATAAAAATTTTAACTACTTATCTTCTATAAATTCACAATAAAAACAAATTTGTTGCTATTAGCATGATGATTGGTTACTTTACCTAGTTAAAGTTTATATGTTTGAGTTGAAATTAATATTACTAATGTTCGAGTTTGCATATGATTTATTTGTTGGTATGTTCACTTACATGAATTTATTTGAAATTGTCATAGTATATTAGCCTATAAAGTGCGTAGACCTTTTTGAACCCTTTGCTAAATATATACCAAGTGAATTTGGTCATCATGTACATGATTTGCATGAAGAAAGTTCCAAGAATCTGGTGATTAATTGTGCCAATTATAAGTTTATTTTTGTTGCATACAAAAGATATATGGAGTTAATAACAGGAGACAATGAAAATTGTATGCCTAAATCTATGAAAATTTTTGAGTGGGGCCCTCAAGAAATTAATTGCGAGAAAGAAAATGATGTATACAGATATAAAATAAATTGAAAATTCTCGGAAGTACTAAAATTAGTTCCTTATTCATTTTATTTGATTTAGCTTCATGATCTTACTCACTTTATTGTAGATTCTTCTCTTTTCATCCGATAACAAATGCTCATTCAACACTTTATCCATAGGTCTATTCAACTAATTCCTAAAGCTATTATACATATATCTAGGGCCTAATCTAAGGGCAATTTTTTCTTGTATTAGCCTAATGACAATTGAGTCTTTTATTATTTATTATTTTTTAGTATAAATGGGGTTTATATGCTTAGAGTTATATTTATGCATTAGATTAGGTGTCTGAACTCTTATGGTTAGGGCTCGGGAGATATTTCCTACCTCTTGAATTGTAGGTGCTTATCTTATGTATTTGTACTGAGTTGTTTGATGTTCTTGCAATAAAATATTCATTTGCCATAATTTCTGTGAAAAAATCATCTCGGATCCTATCACATAGTATCACAGTTCTCAATTCCTCGAAAATTAAAGGTGCGTTCGCAGATTCTAGCCATTGGAAGCACAACAAGATAACAATCTACTTGTAGTCGCAGAACAGTCCCATCTGCATGATGGCACGAAGCGAGGGGAAGCTACATTCGTGATTTTATCTTGGAAAAAACTATGGGATTGCGGCATGCAAAAGGATCAGGATTGTGACAGGAAGGATTGCGACATTTAGGCGACGCTTTACTTGACCTCACCTCATGAAGTAGTCACGATTGGAGCTAGCTTGGAAGCATCACAGTGTACGAAGACCCGAAACTCACATACTCCCACTTCGTTCAAGTGATACAGTCACGATTAGAGCTAACCAAGTGGACACAAAGTTGGGGTTACAATTCATGACAAACCTAATTTAATCGAAAAGTACTATTCAACTTGCTCTGGCTGTGATCCGAGTGACAGAACTGTGTGATCTGAAAGCAAGGAATGGATTGCGACTTAAATACGTCGTGTTACAGTCGTGATTTAGGCTAATTATGAAGCCGACAACATGATTTCATTGCAAAGGTGTTCCTAAACCATATAGAAAATAATGGTGGCCAAAAAAAATAAATGTTTTGTAGGAAAAATTAGAAGCAAAGTTGAGCTACACCAAATAGGAAGTAGATAAAAGTTTCTTGTCTATGGAGGGGCGATTCCAGAGAGATTCAATACTCTGAAAGAAATGATGAAAAAGATCATGAAATTTCACACAAAATCACCTATGGTTATTGGGGGATCAGGTGACGGCGTCGGGAACATAAGCTAACGACGATAACCATAAGGATTCACGCGACATCGAGGCAACATCACTGTTTTAGGCGGATTGGGAGATGTTATATCAAGCAAAGAAATCAGAAGCAGACTGGAACAATAACGCTTGGAAGAACTAACTGACATTCAAACGGCTTGAACAAATGGAAGCAAGCGGGATCAGAGTTGACAAATAGAAGAGACACCTAATACAAAGTTGACAGAGATTCTGGTGATCAATAAGCTACGAGATAAGTTGTTTAGGGCTGCGACGCTCGATAAGATTGATTGGAAGTCGGAACACAATCCGACTCAGATACGTTTGAAGGATGTGCACAAGAAGACATTTTGAATTCTTGAGGGTCGCTATGAATTTCCGATTAAATGGAAAGGATTGTCAGATGACAACAGACCTTGGGAACCATACAACTTGATCCAACAACAATTTTTTCCACCTCGAGGACAATGTGTCTTTGTTGTAGAAGAGTATTGTTTTGTTAGTGCCTAGCGCAAAGGCAATTTATTCTTTTTTTACTTATTATTGTTTAGTATAAATTGGTCTAAAATGCTTAGGGTTAGGTTTATGCTTGAGATTGGGTTTTAAATCTTAGGGTTAGGGTTTGAGAGAGTTTTGCTACCTATGGAACTGTAGGATTTAGGAGAGATCGCCAACCTTTCGAATTGTAGGAGCTGATCATTTATGTTTGTGTTGAGTTGTTTGATTTCCTTGCAATAAAATATTTGTTTGCCCAATTTTTTTGTAGAAAAATCATCTCGCATCCTATCAAAATAATGGGATTGCTTTTATTGTTGATAACGGATATCAAATGAATCTTAGACTTTGGCATGACAAACCTACATGTGATGATTCATGAATCACCTAGTAGGAAGCATAACAACTGTGCCTAGATTTGCTTGAGGAATATCCAATGCTTAATTTGCTGGAGTCAAATTATAGAAAGTGGTGATCTAAACAAGTTGTATCAATTTAATTTTTTTCTTCTAGTTTCTTTTGTATATAACGTGCTTATGATGTTGGATTCTAAATGATTTGAAGTTTATTGCAAATGTTAGTGGATGATATACGAAGTTTAAAGAAAGTAAAGAAAGTAATGATCCCGCTAATTCTAGAAGATTCGAACTTTTAACGTTCATTTCCTAAATCAGACCTCATTTTCTAAATAATCTCTTAAATCGCCTAGTGCAATTGTCTACAAGGGTGTACGATGCATATAGAAAATAACTTTCACTAAAAGAACGCAAAAAATAAAAATCTCAATTTTGTGGGTGTGACATTTTTCTTCATTCTTGTGAGAATTCCAACATGATCAAGCTTGATTGATAATATACAATGCATTTTGGTAAGCGATGAACTTCTGTTCTATTTATTATTTTCTGTCATTTTCTATTGTTCCGTTTAAGAAGTGGTTTATTGACAATGTAGTTGGTATATTTTTATATTTGCTATTTTTAGTGGAAATAATTATTTATGCTTGCTTCCCTGCAAGATTTATATGTTTTTGCAATCATTTTTTATCCAATTTTGTGGCCCTTGTCTAGAAAATCTATAAAATAAGTATCCTTCGTTTTTTCATTTAATATCTCTGTTTATTTTTATATTAAAATTATATTTTATGATCTATAAGCAGCTGAAAGGAAGTTCATGACTTGAAGTGTTTAAAGGAGCTTTTTTAGCTTTCAACAGATATAACAAAACACAATCTACCTCTACTAGACTGATAGAAAGAGGATTTTATGCACATGTGGCCTTTCTTGTTCCTCTTATTTGAAGTTCCAACATCTCTTAGTTTGAGCTTGATGAGCTTGAGCTTGGTTAATTAATCGAGTTCAAATTTGAGCTTGAGCTTAATTCTACAAGTTCGAGCTTGGCTCATGAGCCGGGTTATTTATTATGAAAGAGGGAAAGCAATATTAATTCATGTGTTGTATGATAAAAGTACAAATAGAATGGATGATTAGAAGATAAATGACAAGAAATCGTTTGATATAAAATATAAAACTTCATTTTTTTTAATATTTTTAGTAATTTAAGGATTAAATCATGATTTTTAGTATTTTTTGTGTATTTTTTATGTCCGGCTCACGAGTTCACGGTCAGATCAAAGCTGGCTTGAGATTGACTTATTAGCTCATCGAGCCATTTATGAACCTGAGCCTGAACTGCCTCACTAGTCGGTTTGGCTCAATTATACCCCCCACACTGCACATTGAAACCCAAGAATTCACCGTTTTATAATCCGAGCTTACTATATTTTTCAAAATTTTTGACAGTGTGGCAGCGAGCTCGGTGAAATTAGCCGAAAGAACGAGAACTTACAAACTTTTGAGGAGTTGCGACTTGGTACAATTTCACCCTCCGATTTCGCTCTCTTCACCGGTCAAGACTCGAGGACTGCAGTTGAGCCATCCATATCATTGGGTTATTCTTCCGAACTGGATGAACAACATTGCCCTTCTTTTCAACTTGGATGGAACATTTCTTTAGGAAGTATGGACAACACGAACAGCTTCACATCTGTGTGTGTTTGGTGCAGCACAGAGTTTCGAAACGAGAACAGCAGTGATGAACCGCACTCGGAGACACTCGGCTTCATTTGTCCGTCTTGCAAGGCGAAACTCTCAGGGCCATGACGTACTGCAAGTGAGATGGAATTTTCGCATGGGGGAAATTTACTACATACCTATCACACAATTCGTATGTATTTATATATCTCACGCCTAAACTTTCATATTTACATATACAAACCAATTCATTAGAAGGTGTAGATCACTTTTAAAAAGTTGTACTACTGCAATTTTCGATGTAATATTCAAGATTTGAGTGCTGTGTGTAAATATGAAAGTTTTGGTGTGATATATGTAAATACACTAGAATTTTGTGCTATGTTTATAAATGGACCCTATTGGTATTTGTTGATTTCCTACTTGAATTGCTGAACGTACTTCAATTTTCAGCACTGTACTGAACGCCTATTGCATTAGTTTTTAAGGTTCTGAATTTTGTAAATCATGAGCATTCATCTACAAGCTGATACTATTGAGTCTAAGATGATGAAGGCAGAATGTTTATTATTAAAATGTCTGGGAGTGATTTACATGTTAACTTTAATTGCCGAATGAGATGAACAACAACCCATTAGTTTCTATTTTGGGCATTCACTTACATGGCCCCCAATTTTTGTGAATTTAGATATCTAATATTTAAACTTTGTTATTTTTATATTTATGATGTCTAAATCTTTGGCATCACATCAAAAGTATCAATGTTCTAACTTTTCAAAGGTGAAATATACTTATACATTCATAGGTGAAGTGTTTTAGATGTGGAAAATTGAAGTTTATGTGCTAGGAATTGGGTGTTATATGTATCATTGATAACTGCAGCGGCTATCTCTCTCTTCTCTTTGGGTCTGTTTTGGGCAATTTTCTATCTTATATTTAAAACTCATCATAGTTCTCTATTTGGAAAATTATTTTCTTATTATTATTATTTTTTAAATTATGGTAGAAAATATTATTTTCAACATGATATGTTAAAAATGCTGTGACTCTAAAAGAAAATTGTCTGATTTTTTTAAAAATAATTATAATTTTCAGCCTTATTATCTATAAAAAGTTTTCTCCTTTACTGTTTAACAATTATTTTCTTAAATAATTTAAATTAAAATAGAAAATGCAAGAGTTTCACAAATATATAATTTTTTTTGGATTTAAAAGGACAATTATACTTTGGATTGAGTTTAATGAATTTACTAAATCTAAGGGCAAAATTACATTTAACGAATTTACAATTTAAAGGATTTACTAATCGAACCGGACCTCTTCATATTTTAGAAATTCTCATTTTTATATTAAAAAATGCTAACCTTCATTCCCCGAAACAAAATTACTAATGAGCCACTAGTTATTTGTTGCATTTTTTTTTTGTGTTTTGGGCTTAAATGAGCATTAAAATGTGTTTAACAGATGACCACTAGAAATTTACATGATGACCACACATTTCCTCTTTTGTATTTATATATTTATATATATGAAAATATGTATCACTTTTTAAGAAAATAATGATGAAAATATTTTTTTATGTAATCTTAATTATAAATATGAATGTATATGTGCTAAGACAAGTGAATACATAATAATTGTGTGGTGTGCATGTAAATGCCCCTTTTGAAGTACACCACATTTCGACAGACTCTGAAGTTTAAATTCCTGAAAAAATTGTTTTGGATTTACTTCACAGCAAATCAAATACTTGAATTTTTAACAAAATGCATACAAAGAGAATACAGTACAGCTCTAGTGCATCCAAACAAACAGCCTCTTCAGCTTCGAAGTGAAATTAGAATAATGTGGTGCGTTAATACAAATCTACAGCCATTAACCAGAGCTAATCAATCCTCCTTTCACTCAAAAGTTTTAGCATGCAAACAGTCTAAATCATAAGACAAAAAGGAGAGCACACACTCACCTGCGTTACCTTTTACATATAAAAGTGTTTTCAAACTCTACAAGGGAGAAAAGTTCCAGGCTAAAGCATCGACAAATCTTTGTTGGAATGCTTGCAATGTAAATATCTAAATTAAGAGGGATCTTTTTGAGTTGCTTTAGGGTACCCTAAAATGCGAAATCAAGAGATGATATCAGCTCATAAGTCTCCTTAGCCTTTTCTCTGCGTCACGAGCGGCCTTGTTTTGTGGTTCTAGAACAAGAGCATGCTTGAAATCTGTGTAATACAAGAGTTTAAAGGCAGTTCCCAACTGTAATTTCATCTTTTGAGATAAGAGAAAGCTAATCATTCTATTTTACTGTTACAAAGATTAAGCATCACAAGACCGCTACTATGCGCAGCAGTACTACACTCCAGAATCCAAACAATTCAGAAACAGACAAAAATAATAGAAGTTTTAAATCTATTTTGTCTTGTAAAAACAAAATATGGAACTGGAAGGTTATAGGGTAGGATAGGGAAGAAGTTTTGGCAATAGAGAAAAAGAAAGCAGGAGCGAGTGCTTGACATGTGTCATTACAAACATTTGGCAATACAAAAAAAAGGTAAATTTACATGCATACCACTCAATTCTTATGTATTTACATATCTAACATCCAAACTTCAAATTTTACATATATGCCACCTTTACATTCATGAAAAAGTGTATTTCACATTTTGAAGTTCAAAAAGAGGCATTTTTTTTATGTGATATGGAAGATTTAAATGGTATGAATATAAAAAGTAAAGTTTAGTTGTTAGATATGTAAATACATAGGAATTGGGTGGTATGTATGTAAATGACCCTACAAAAAAATAACAATAGCATAAGATGGAGAAGTGAAGCTGAATGGATTAAAGAAGATGCATCAAGGAGCTATTTTTCTATCGTGGGTGTTGCTGAATTGGCTGAAAAGGTTCAAATGCAAAATATAATGAAGGAACAAGTAATGCATTAAGATATCAAACCTAAGCCGAAAAGGATAATAAGCCTGTAAATCGAGTGTGGCATGGTAGGGTACAAAAGGGGAACAAAAAGAATGAAAAGTATGAGCGGGCTTATACATTTAAGTGATCAAAGTCGCATTGGTAAACAATAACTGAAAACCGAGAGCAAGAAAAGTTGATGATGTGGAGCCTTAGGTTTTAGAATTTTAATGCAATTAAATGATCTGATTAACGAAAATTACATAAAGTTAACTGAAAAATTGAAATTTAACAAGAAAATCTTGCTTTTGATGTTGTGAATCCCTTTAAGTAAAATGAAGCTAAACTCTTTAACGTTGAGAGGCCTTTTGACATAATAGTTGAAATTTCATCAAAACTCTAAAGCTAAGCATTCTCATGCAACAGCACTCCAAGGATGGGTGACATGGGAAATTACACTAATAGAATCAAACCGCGAGGCCATTTCACCAAAGCGAACAATATATCTATGAATGAGAGTTCGACTATATAAGAGCTTATACCAATATTAATATAGGAATACATGCCTAGTGGATGATTCTAAGTTAAGAAAAACGATAATGATGCCGGTTACTTCAATGGTAAAGATTGTGAAATCCCTTAAGCAGAATAAAGCTGAACTCTTAAACATCAAGATGTCTTTTGGTTTAACAGTTGGAATTTTATCAGAAACTTTAAAGTTAAGCTTATTTCTGTGGAAGCAACTTTGGTATGCATGACCTTTTGAAAAGTTACACCTAGTGTTGTCAAAACAGCTCGTTCGCGAACAACTCGTTAAAAGGCTCGTTTGTTTAACAAACAAGCCGAACACAAACAAATTTTTTGAGCTTGATTTATAAACGAGTCAAACATGAACAAAGGTTCCCTTGTGTGCTCGTTTAGGCTCGAATTAATTAAATTATATATATATATATATA